GGTTTGGGTGAGGGCCCTCTTCCTGACTTGCCGACGGCCATCTTCTCACCGTGGCCTCACAAGGCAGCGAGCAGAGAGAGACAGCAAGTGTTTCTCCTTAGAAAGTACTCATCTTGGGGCACCAGGGCAGCTCAGTCTGCTGAGTGCCCGACTCTTGGTTTTTGGCTCAGCTCCGTGATCCCAGGGTCGTGACATCGAGCTCCCTGTCAAGCTCTGTGCTGACCGTGGAGCCTGCTTAGGATTCTCTCTCCCCCTGTCTCTCTGCCCCCTCCCCTGCTCATGTGCTCTCTCTCTCTCTCTCTGAAATTAAAAGTAAATAATAAAGTTTAAAAAATCAATATTATTCTTTAAAAAATAAAAAGGCACTAATCCTGTTGTGGGGATCCCACTCTCATGACTTCACCTAAACCTAAACCCCCAAAAGCCCCACCTTCGAATACCATCCCATTGGGGTTCAGGGCTTCAGTGTATAAATTTTAGGGGGACATGCTTCAGTTCACGACAGGCCTCCAGAACTGGGAGAGAATAAGTTTTTGTTGTTTGAAGCCACCCAGCTTGCGGCACGTGTTTGTGCAGCCTTGGGGCACTGAGGCAAGGCTCTTCCCCGCTCCTCTAGGCCGCCGCCTCGCTGAAACGCCAATCCAAAAGAAGACTTAGGGGCCACGGTCGGGGGACTACGGCCGGGGCACTGGCTCGGGAAGGCTGTGGATGCGCATGAATGGTGTGACAGCGGCCTGGGCTGTCGGGGTCCGGACTCTGTGACTCTGGGAGCACCAGCGCGGGGTGGAGGTGGGCCGGGGCTGTTGTGGGCACCGCTCACCCTTGGCTGTGCCCCTGAAGATGGGGACCGGCACCGCGCTCGGAGGTGATTCATCACCACGAGCCTTTCCCGGATTTCCTGCTGGGCTTTGCAGCTGGCACCGAGTCCCTGCACCTGCGGGATGAGCTGGGCCAAGCAGCTCGGCACTTGGCAGACAGCCTGGGGAGGCGTCCACGGTGCAGAGGTTGTGTGTGGCACGCACTGGGTTGCATGGCAGAGCGTGGGCCGCACGGTGCCGGTCCAGCCCCCACTGGGTGCCCCGAGGAGCCCCTGACCCCTACCTCCCGCGGGCCCCAAACACACCCCCAACACCGACCCAAGAACCAGCCCGGAGAAGTTAGAGGAAACTGAGGAGGACCGGAAGCTGCAGTTGCGGGTTGAAAATTACCAGGACCCCCGCCCACTCCACGTGGCCACCATCCTGGAAGAGGCAGACTTGGTCTGGCTGTTCCAGAAGGCCCCAGCTGACCTCAGCAAACCAGAGCCCATGTGCAGCCTGCACTTGGCAGTGGAGGTCCACGCGGCTGACTTGCTGGAGATTCTCCTGAGGGCAGGCTCAGACCCCGCTGTCGCCATGTCCGTGGCTGTATGCCATGGGGCGGCACCACTGTCTGGTGCCACCCCATCCTCTCCGGCCTCCTCTGCACACGCGGAGCCCCTGAGCCCCTGCCCCTGACGAGGGCAGCAAGCCTGGCTCCTGCAGCAGTGGCGACAGCGACAGTGACAGTGGGGATGAGGGTGTGAGTCAGGAGGAAAGACAGGGTGGCCCGGCTGGGGGTTCAGGGTAAACCAGCAGGCAGGAAAGGGGAGAAGAGCTCCGGGGCAGAGCGTTGAGACTGACCTTGGGCTGCCACAGTTGCAGCACTCGGGCTGCAGTCAGGACAGTCCTAGGCAGGGGTAGTGGGAAGAAATTAAGGCAATGGCAGAGTTGGGACCCAGGCAGAAGTGCAGAAAAGAGCATGGTTGTGGTGACTGGTAAACACAACCAGTGGTAGGGGGCAGTGTGGGGTGACCTTGGGGGTCAAGAATTGGAGAACCCGGGCTGTAGGAAGATAACCTCGGGCAGCAGTGATCAGACCGTGGATGTTGGTGGGGAAAGACCTTAGCTAGCAGCGAGGAGGTTTGCGTGGAAAACCCAGGAAGCAGAGACACTCCCTTGGGCAAAGGACAGCATTGAGTGATGGGGCTTGAGGAATTTGGGTAGACGCAGGGCGGGGGGGCGGCAGGGAGAGACCGCAGGTGGCTGTGGCTGCCCAAGAACTGGCATGGAGCTAGAGCTCAAGCAGCAGCTGTGGCGAGAAACGACCTTGAACATGGTGGTTTGAGATCCAGGAGCAGGGAACTCAGGCTTGAAGGCAAGACTGGCGGAAAAAGTTGGGCAGCGGGCAAGGGTGGCATCGTGGTCCCCAGTGGCTCGAGCCAGCACAGCTACCTCCCGACAGACTCACAAACTCTCCTGGATGACCCCGTCTGATTGGTTTAAACGTTAACATAATTTCTAATTTTTCAAAACTTGCGGTTCTACACAAAACAAAGCTCCTGGTTGTGACAACCAGGGGCAGAAAAAGAGACCGCTTAGAGATCTGAATCCTGAAGCGTTTCTGTTTGCACCGGCAGTCATAAATGCACCCCCATCCACACTTACCTGCCTGTGTTGTGATTCCAGGATGCTCCTGACATCCCAAGAAGTCCTCCTGCTGTGCAGACACGCCCATCTCATGGATGGGGCTACATGGGGCAGGCGGGTCGAGCCCTCAGCAAACACCTGTAGGTGGGGAGACAGATCCCAGCACCCCCTGCCTTCCCTCCCACTAGTCAGTGGTCTCCTGGAGAGCGGGCCGGAACTAAGGGAAGAGATTCCAAAGGCGGAAACCTTCAACTTGGTGACAGATTGATGGAACAGATATTTAAGGGCCGATGGAGCTACGCGCAGTAACACTGTGGTGTCCACTCAAACTAGTTCTGCTGGGCGAGGAGGGAATGTGTCACAGGGCCTTGCTTTGCGGGGCAGGGGGCGTTATTTGAGGTAATGGCAATAGCACAAGAGCAGAGTGAGGAGGTCTGGTTTGTCACTAAATTGCCCTGTGACCAGAAGGAGGTCATTTCTCTAAGCCTTAGTTTCCTTATCCTTAAAATGAGAATGGAAATGACTTTTAAGTTCCTTCCCTGAGTCAATAATCAGTCCTGGGAGATTAGGCAAGCAGCAGATTCTTTTTTGTCCTTCTAATCGTGGTAAAATGTATATACAACACGAAACTTACATTTTTACCATTGTTTTCATTCTTTATTTTTAATTGTGGTCAAATATGCACAGAATGTACCGTCGTAGCCATTTTTAAGCGTAGTGGCATTAAGTACATTCACAGTGTTGTGCAACCATCACCACTGTCCATTTCTAGAACTTTCCCATCATCCCGATCCGAAATTCTACCCATTGAGCAATAACTCACCCCTCCCTCTAAACCTCGGCAATCTCTACTCTACTTTCTGTCTCTATGAATTTGCCTATTCTAAGTACGTCGTTTAACTGGGATCACAAGATTTGTCCTTTTGCGTCTGGCTTATTTCATCAAACGTGTTTTCGGGGTTGACACATACTGTAACACACATCAGAACTGCTTTCCTCTTTAAGGCTCAGTAATATCATATGGACACACTGCTGTTCCACTGATGGACGCTTGGGTTGTTGCCATCTTTTGGCTGTCGTGATTATTGCTGCTGTGAACACTGGCGTGTAAGCTCTCTGTTTAAGTCCCTGCTTTCAGTTCTTTTGGGGTATATACCTGGCAGCAGAATTACTAGATCCTACGGTAATCCCGTGTTTAGCTTTTCGAGGAACCACCAGACTGTTTTCCCTTGGGTTTTCTCTAAAGTGAGGGCACTCTGCCGTGCCACGGGTCTGTGCTGACGAATTACTTTGGGAAGTAGGTTGAAACCAGCTGGGTTCAGCCCAGCAGTGCAGTTTACCACTCTCCCCAGTACTCATATGGGTCAGGCGTGTTCCAGTGCTCCGAAGGCCACGATGAGCCCAGGGTGCACGCTTTCTCCTTCTGAGGTGAACTAACTACATTGTGGCTGGAAAGTGGCTCCGAAGGGAAATAAGTTTCTGTCCCGTTCACTTGCCTGGAATTTCAGAAACGGTGAGGATATGTGCATACATTTCTGATTTCATTGCTAGAACTAAGCCCCCCACACCTGACTGGACGAGGACTGGGGAAGAGGGCAGAAGACCTAATTGGGAAGGCAGGAAGGGGGTTGGCACTAAGACTGAAGCTCTCAAAACCCTGATGGGAGTTACAGGATGGCCTAGATCACGTGGGGCGTGTCCAGGGGAGCAAGGGAGCAGGAGATCCCACCCAGCCCCGAGCTGCTGAACTCAGACTGGCTCTTGGTTCACATCTCAGTTCTTCTGCTTGCTAGTGTGGGCAGTGAACTTGAGCTTCTCGAGTTCAGCTTTCTCATTTGTAAAATAGGGACGTCATAAAGTTATGAAGATAAAACAAAACCACGTGTGGGGCGCCATTCGCACAGTGCCGGCCCTCACGCTCAGTACAGCTTAGGAAACTAGCTGGCTGTGTTCCTCAAGCCCCGACTACTCAGGCGCTGTGTCAGAGTGGGAAGCCCTTCCCTCACCTCCCGGTTCTCGAAATCTGCTTTAAAGCATGGGTTTTTTGATGCGCTTTGCATTTTGGTGGCCATTTCCAGAACTTACATGTTGCCTTTCTACGGCTTCCTTTCTCTCCAAATCAAACGCTTCGTCTTTTGGGGACCGGCAGGTGGGTTTTACTTGCACGTACAAAACTGACTTTAAGCAAAGGATACGTTCTTTGCTTAAAAAAAAAAAAAAAAAAATTAAAAACAAACCAACAGAAAGCCTCAGTTATTCTGGGCAAAACTCTTCCAGACGCCTTTGGACGTGAATATGTCTCGTCAGTGACCCCATTTCATTTACTAAAAATGGTTTCACTCTCCAGGCAGCCAGAGCAGGATTAAAGGGAGAAATGATGTGAAAATACTTGAGGCCATAACCTTATGTAAATACGAATCATTATCATTAATCATAAACACAGAAAATGAGATGTTTGGTAAGTGAGCTGTATCAAAATAGACAAGTCTTCCTGTCTTCCCTGCCTTTCCCTGCTCTGCCTGGTGCTGGGAGCAGAGGTGGCCTCAGCTCTGCTCATCCTTGCTGATTTAATTCAATGAGCCGACCTGCAAACACAGCCAGGGTTCCAATGATGCAGACAAGCATGAAGACTCCAAGGAGAATGTGGTCCATCACCATTGCAACATACTTCCATTCCTCAGCCGCCTGGGAGAGAGAAAAGTGTTAGAATTTCCTTACGATGGTTTTTGGACTCACCATGTTCGTGCTATGCATCAATTATGGCCCACTCAAAGCCCGTAACATCCCTTGGCTGGCGTCGTGGTCTTTATTATTCGAATAGATTATTCACAATGTGTTGGCTCACTAAGGTGGCTTAGAGGTGGTCACCAATGCTGCCTCTTGAATGCCAGCCTACTCCTCAGGACAAACCCATCCATCTGTGTTCACGTATTGGATCATTGAAACCCGGAGGTGTGGGTTTCAAGTCACGAAGCTTACGTTATTGGACTCCTGGTCTGACTTCATGGTCTCTGCGATGTATTTGACTCCTTCAATGGCACTTTTTACCTCCGGGTGTTTGATCAGGGGAGAGTGGAAGCCCATGGGTGGAGGCCCCGGCTTCCCAGAAATGTCAGAAATATCAATGTCTTCTGTAAAAATCTTTTTGTCTTGTTTTTCTCTGGATGGTCTTTTCATTGTGGAGAAGAACATGATATTTGGGATAGTGTCGATAAAAACCTAACACGAAAAAGAAATCCATGCATGAATTAACGCCAGTAGTGCAAGTATCAAACTCTGACTTTGAATTAGCCGTGTGACTTTAGGCAAATCAGTCAGCTTCGCTGGACCTTAGGGTCTTTGTCCTTAAAACACAAGGACGATACTAGATTTTCTCAAAATTTCCTTCAGACTTACCCCGTGGCCTGTCAAATTACTATGGTTAATAGAGCTGATTTTGTCATGTGAACAGTTCACCACTGGAGGGAGCCCGTGCGCAGCTGTTGGGCTCGAGAAACCAATGAAGTTTAAGCTTCCAGCCTTCAAGGAACCGGCTTCCTTCAAAGCCTTGTGTTAGTTGGATAATATGATTAAAGGAAAAGCCCTTCTGGCTAAAAAAATATATGAGGGTCCAGCCTCCAAAACAGCCACAGTGTTTTTTTCTCCCCATTTCTTATTCCTGAAGAAATGCAACATGGGCGTTGCCAGGAGTCACGTAAGTCTTTATAGATACAGGGACTGATTGTCCTCCCAAAAGAATACACTGCAAGCAATAGTTTCTCTGTTAATTCATGACAAATCTTTTGCATTCTGCAGAAAACACCCTGACGTCAGTGTCTCTGTGAAGTTTTACCTAAAAACTGACATATTTGAAATGCTAACACTTTTTAAATTTCAATAATGCAAATACCTGAAACCAAGTTCCTCACGAAAACTCACTTTTTGACAATTTCTTGTCAAGCATCCTCTCTATCTCTAGCCCTTATTCTATTCTCAGCAGATGATTTGACCAGCAAAAAATAAGCAGTCTGTTCACAGATTGGGAGACATACAAACAGAAACCTCAGGAATTTCACAGATTCTGAATAAAAAGTGATATATTCACCTTCTCTAATCAAAGAGACTCTTTAAACGTGAATTTGGAGTGGGCTTTGTTAATTCTGTTTTTCTTCTGTGTCTGGGAAGGCTATAGGAATTACTTATCCCTAGAAGGCTAAAAGAAAGTTTCTTCCGGAAATCCTCTAAAAATCCCCGGAAAGGACAGTTCCTAAGGGCCCACATGCATCAGCCAGAATTCCACCAGCCAAGTGAAGGGAGAGACGTTTGTGAGGGCAGTGCTGCCCCCGGGGGGGGGGGGTGGTGGCAGGGCCCTCGCTCGCTCACCTTGCGTACCCAGTCGGGCATGACGTGGGTGCTGGGGGAGCGGTGGTGTGTGTTGATGACAATGACCGTGATGATGATGGACGCGATGACAAACACCATGGTGAACAGCATGTATTTCCCAATCAAGGGCACAGCACTGGAGGTGGAAGGGATTAGCTCCACGATGACCAGGAGGAACACGGTCAAGGACAGCAGGACAGAGATGCTCAGAGTCATCTTCTCTCCTGCACGGAATGAAAAAGAAATACAACCCATTCACTGGTTATGGGCTGAATTGTTCTCTTCGGTTTTCTGCATGGAAGTCCTAAGCCTCATGGCCTCAGTGGCAGTATTTGTCGATGAGGCCTGTAAAGACGCAATTAAGTCAACATGAGTTCATCAGGGAAGGCGTTCCTCCAATGACTGGTGTCCTGAGAAGAAAGGGGGATTGGGGAGCACCTGGGTGTCTCCGCCAGTGAAGCGTCTGACTCCTGCTCAGGTCACGATCTCGTGGTGCGTGAGTTCGAGCCCCGCATCTGGCTCTGCGCTGACGGTGTGGAGCCTGCTTGGGATCCCCTCTCTCTCCCTCTCTTTCTCTCTCTGCCCTTCCCCCACTTGTGCTATCACTCTCAAAATAAACTTTAAAAAAAAAAAAAAAAAAAAAAAAAAAAAAAAGAAGGAGATTAGGGCACGGACACACACAGAGGGGAAAGACCAGGGGAAGCCACAGGGAGGAGACGGCCATCCACAAGCCAAGGAGAGAAGCCTAGAGGAAACCAGACCTGCCGACACCGTGACCTCCAGGACTGTGTGGACAAAATTCCTGTTGTTTCAGCCACCCGGTCTGTGGCACTTTATTAGGGCAGCTGTAGCAGACTAATACGCCACAAAACCCAGGGGGTGAGAACCATGTGACCCGCATACAGCTGGGGACATTTGGGGGGCAGAATTTCGTCCTCTGGGACCTTAGCACCTTAGCTCTACTGACCATGGCAAGTGACAGACACTTCCACTAGAGGCCGCCAAGCGGCCGAGGGCTGCTTTGTCTCCTGTCCCAGCATTCCACTGCTTGGTGGAACTCAGGGAGCCAGGTACACCAAGCTGAGTGACAAGCTAGACTCCAGGTGGCAGTTTTTCTGTCTGCAGCAGACTATCATCAACCTCACAAAGCTGAGCCACGGTCTGACCTACTCGTGACCCAGCAGGTGGATGGGCAACCCAGGAGCGCATGCGTACTTTTCTCGGTATGGGAGGGGGCTGCAAGACCAAAACCGAGAAAAGGACAAAACCAGTGAACTTTGCACATTCATTTAGAGGACAGTTTGGTTTTCTTCTTGTTTTGTCTTTCATATCAAGGGACCAGGGGTTCCCCTGCCCCGACCTCTTCTCACCAGATCCTATCATTTCAGGGTGGATAATTCCCCGTTCGAGTCTCGGTATGGCAAGCCAGGAGGGTGGGGGACTGAATGGCCCTGGAATATTTTTGTGGGGACTGACGGCCTCGGAGGCAGCTCGAGAGCCTTTGGAAGGGACTTCCCTTGGGCTGGTCTTGCTGTTTGTCTCGGGAGACCCTTGTGTTGTCCCATTCGCCAGTATGGAGCTTTTCCCCGTACTGGATGCTTCCAGATGCTAGGAGTGTATACAGGAAATGGAGTGGATGCAAACAAGAAATGATCGATTCCACCTAGTGAGAAGAAGTCTACCGAGTGGGTAGGAAAGTCTTTAAAAGTGAAAAAGAGGGGGCACCTGGGTGGCTCCGTCGGTTGAACATTTGACTCTTGGTTTCGGCTCCGGTCATAATCTCACAGTTTGTGAGCTGATAGCACTGAGCTTTCTGGGAATCCTCTCTTTCCCTCTCTCTGCCCCTCCCCTGCTCATGCTCACTCTTTCTCTCTCTTAAAATAAATAAACTAAAATAAAGATAGGTAATTTTTTGTGAAAAAGATGTAAATATGAAAATTGATCAAGTTACATCATATTTCTTGAGTAATAATGATAATAACTAACATTTACCAAGCATTTTCACTGTTCCGCATGCTTTTCAAGCATAAACCATCGCACATATAGAGATTCTGACTAGTTTCCATATTGCCCTAACTAGTAGTCTCTTCACTTTAAGAAGCTTAATTTGTTAGAAAGTCAAAAACAAATTGTGTTTGTGATCATTTGTTTAAAAATAAGTACAGTCATAAGAACAACGGGCATTCTGTGGGGCAAGTTCTGCCTTATTCTCTACTGTATCCGTGCCACATAACAATTGTTCAACAAATACATGTCAAATGAGTGAATTCATAATCTTTTTTTCCCCTTGTTATAAAGTTAGACTTAGACTTTCTATGTGTGCGTGTGTGTGTGTGTGTTTATTTGTGTTTATCATTTTGATATAATTGTTCCCTGTCATAAGTTTGAGGACTGTCTGTATCCTTTCTTTGTCCCCACTTGTCCGCCCTAAATTGTTTATGAGCAGTGACTTCTCACAGGCACTTGTGTGCCCTCTTCCCCTTTTCTGGGGATTGTTGGTGTTTGTTGAAATTATGTCACAGATGTGATCACTCAGTAGGAAATAAGGAAGTTGTCCAGGCTGATATGTGAGAAAGACTTGCCACTTGGGAAGTATGGTCGTGTGTGTAAAGATAGTGCCACCCGGAAAACAGACATGCAAAAGCGATTTTCAAATGGCAAGCGGTGAGCAAAAGAGGCAAGACCTGGGAGCGCCTGGGTGGCTCGGTTGGTTGA